CAGAGGATCAAACGCAGCTGGGCTTGCTGTAATTTAATTTTTATTTCCATTTTTCGATCTTTTTCGTCGCGCTGTGATGACGTCACATACGCGCTTTCGGCGACCGCGATTTTGTCGTCCGCGGTTTTGTGGTGGAACCGGGGGGCTTCCTTGCAGACGTTTTGTGACCCAACTAGGGAACCTCATCAGTGCTAGAAGGGAAGGGGTGCCATGGAGTGGGATGTGTTTTTTTTTCTCTCTCTCTCCTTGGTACTTCTGTGAGCTGAGTATTTGTTCACTGCTTGGTTGTTGGTCTAGTATTCCTGGCTGGGGAATTCTGGGACTTGAAGTTCAACTTGCCAAGTTACTAGGAGCCACCACCACCCCCTCTCTTATTTGCAAATCCAGGTTCATGTAGTGACCCTTCGAAATTAAAAAAGTAATTTGGACCCTTTTTCACACTTACTACCATCACAGTCACATAATCACAATTGAGACCCTTGGCAACCGACTTCTATTTATGAATGTATAAAATTAAAATAAATATTTATCATTTAAAAATGAATAATTTGGTATTATTATTATTTTTGCAGTCAATCCGAAGAAGGACAGCGAAAACACCCCGGTCAAAGGAGGCACCGTCGCGGATCTTGGTGAGACCAACTTTATTTTGGCTTCCTATTTTCAGCTTCCTATTGTTTAGTTACCATTCGATACTACAACGGCCCTAAACGACCATTTTTCACCCTTAATGACCACCAGTTCCTTGGTCTCGCGATCAAAATTCAACCGTAACTCGTATTTACGGTGGTCCTGGGGTTGCGTGATCCCCTTTTGCGACCTTCCCACAAGCAGGAAACCAGATTCATTTAACGACTGCATGACTAACGGCAGGGATTCACTTAACAACAGTGGCTAGCGAGGTCGTCAAACAGGACAAACTTCACTTAACTGCAAATCGCTTAGCAACGGAAATACTGGGCTAGGTTGTAGTCGTAAGTCGAGGATTTCCTGCAGAAAGGAGGGTCCCAGAGATGGCGGCGCTCCCGTATGGCGCAAGTTTCTGTGTCGTAATACAATGGCGAAGTTGTGTAAGTGACACAAACCGCCTCCTGTTGTGTTCTTGTCTTGCAGATGAACAAGACGAAGAGACAATGACGGCCGGAGCAAAGGTAGGCAATTTTCTTGGAGGGGGGGGGGAGAAAATAATATTTTTTAAAAATTGTTTGTTTGTTGCAAACAAAGGAGCTGGACCTCAGTGAGGCTCCTGTACTCAATCTTGGATAAAAGATTGCAAACAAAGTAGATTTCATTTGAGTTGCAAATAAACTCCAAGAAGCCCACAATTCAATTCTGAGCCACAAATCTTCTCTTTTAGCCAAAAAGATCTTGGTAGTAACTAATCAGAGAAGACACTGAGAGCAAACCATCCCATCATCTCCTCTACATTCAGCCTCCCCTTTACACGTGATATTTATTTCTTCGGCAACTCTACTGATGTCCGTTACTTTCCTTAAGAACGGGGGTTCAAAACCATACAGCCCAGGAGGAGGAGGAGGAGGAGAAAAAATGAAAAAGGGGAGAAGGAGAAAAGTGAAGAAGGGGGAAGGGAGGAAGAAATGGGAGAAAATGAGAAGAAGGGAGAAAGGAGAAAAAAGGGAGGGGGAGGAGGGAGGCGGAGTTAGCGGAGAGAGGGAGGAGGACCAAGGGAGGAAGAGAAGAGGGAGGAAGAAGAAGAAGAAGAAAAAGAGGGAGATGGAAGATGATTGCAAATTATGCCAATATCGGGGCTCCATTTTTTCCGTCGGTCACTCTAGATGTTTCTTCCTTGCCAGCGTAACACTCTCTTTCCTGCTGACAGGAGGACGAGGATCCCAACAAAGGGGACCAGGGACGATCCCTCGACACCGGAGAAGACAACGTCACTGAACAGACCAACCACATCATCATTCCCAGCTACGCCTCGTGGTTCGACTACAATTGGTAAATTTCGCCATAGGGGAGAAGGGAAGCAACACCGCCCCACCCACCCCTGAATTTACCCCAAGCCTTAATGGGGTTAGTGGAGTGGGGTTGGAGGGAGGAAGAGGTGGGGAGGAGGAGGAGGAGTGAGGGGAGAGAGAAGGAGAGGACTCTGTGGGTCCTCAGTGGTCTTTGAGCTGGGTGGCATTCTTGCAGACGTTTCATGACCCAACTAGGGAACGTCATTATTGCTAGAAGGGCGGAGGGCTTCGTTCACTTTTTATATAAAGTCTCTTCCAGCCCTGATGATGTCACCTAGCCAGGTCAAGAAATGTCTGCAAGAAAATAGATTATATTTCTTATTTGTGGTCAAATCTATAATTGTTTTAATTAACAGCATGAAGAAGCCTTTATATAGAGAGTGATGAAATCCAGCAGCTAGTTGGCTTAATCAGTCAGTTGTTGGCTTCGGACTCTCTCCTGCTGTCCCAATGTCCGTGATCATGGCTTACGCAGCACGCTAGCATTGAACAAAAGTTGAGCCGGGGCTTATTCACAGACCTAGCCAGGAGTTGGCCAGGCTGGGTTGGTGCCTCGCCGTTCAGATGCGAAGGCAAAACCGAACGGCAGCTCTTTTTCCTTTCTTCTTCTAGCATCCATGTCATCGAACGCCGGGCGCTTCCCGAATTCTTCAATGGGAAAAACAAATCCAAGACTCCGGAAATGTAAGTTAGAGAAACAAAGGAGGGAGGAGGGAGGTCTCTCTCTCTCTCTTTCTCTCTCTCTCCCTCCTTCCCTCCCTCCCTCTCTCTCTCTCTCTCTCTCTCTCTCTGGGCTGTGGGCTTGATGGTTTTCTTTCTTGGTGGACCTTTCTTGACCAAAGTAGAAAACGTCCTCAGCTAGGAGTGGGCTGAACACCTGTAGTACTGATGACATTCCCTAGTTGGGTCATGATACATCCACAAGAAAAGCACCACGCTCAGGAGACCACCAAGGATTCCATAATCGCCTTCCTCCTCCTTCCCACAATTCCCCCTCCCTGCAGCACTGATGAGGTTAACTAATTGGGTCATGAGACGTCTGTAAAAGAAATGCTGCTAAATTCAGAGTGCACCAAGGACCCCCACTCTCCCACAGGCCTCCTTTTCCTCCCCTCCACAACCCCCCTCCCTTCCAGCACTGATGACGTTACCTTGTTTCGTCATGAAATTTCTGCAAAAGAATTCTGCCAAATTCAGAGAGCACCAAGCCCCTCCCCCCCCAGTTTTCTTCTCTTCCTTCCCTTCCTCCTTTCTGATGACGTTCCGTACTGGGGTCATGAAACGTCTGCAAGAAAACCCCCAATCTCAGAGAGCCTCAAGGACCCCACATTCCTTCTGGCTCTTCCTCCTCTCCACAAATTCCACTCCCTTCTAGCCCTGATGATGTTCCCTACTTAGGTCAAGAAATGTCTGCAAAAAAGCCACTGAGTTCAGAGACCACCGAATACCTTACCTTCCTTTCTTCCTCCTCCTCTCTCCCTTCTATCACTGATGATGTTCCCTAGTTGGGTCATGAAATGTCTGTAAGAAAGTCTCCAGACTCAGAGAATACCAATTGCTAGGTTGGCAGAAGCTGGACAAGTACGAGCTCACTCCGTTATGCGGCGCTAGGGATTCGTACCGGCAAACTGTCGACCTTTCTGATTGACAAGCTTAGCGTCTTAGCCAACCCACTAACCTACAGGTAGACTCTCAACCCACCAACTTATCTTCTTTTGTGGTCTAATTGTCTCTTGCATTTCCCAGATACTTAGCATACCGCAATTTCATGATCGACACCTACCGCTTGAACCCTCAAGAATATTTGACCAGCACGGCCTGCCGAAGAAACTTGACCGGCGACGTTTGTGCAGTCATGAGGTAATCATTTACGGAGGGCCTTCAAGACAGAAAAATCTGAGTTATCACCCCAGTCCTGCCTGGGAAAGGGGGAGGGGAGAAACGGGACCCCGGAAAATCTTGGGGTGATGCTTGGAAAGCCAACAATGTATTCTGTGCTGGGGTCTCCGTTCGCCATCTGGAGAACATTTCTAGGATTCACAAGAATTAAACTGGGAACTGGGCTACTGGAGTGGACTGTAGTCTGGATTCCTAGAAGGGAGCGGGCCGCATTCCAGAGGACCAAGTGACATCAAAGTTTAGGTAGCCTTTGAGATAACAGCTGTTTGAAGATACAATAGACCTACACACACAGAAAGCTACTTATGACCCCATTTGGGGTCACAGCCCACAGCCCTTCCTCCTTGCAATCAACCGGAGGACCTCCGCAATCTCCCCCTTCCATCCCACCCCGCTTAACAGAAGACATCGGGATGGTCGTATCTCAGAGGACGACCTGCCTTTGGGCGTATAATTGATAGCTTGACCAGCCCCCACAAGCCTTCTCATGATCTACTTCCTCCGGAATGCGGCCCCTCCCTCCTGGGAATCCAGACCACCTTCCACTACAGCTAGTGCAAAGCAGCCTCTGTACAGATGGACATCAGCTTTTTTTCAACAGTGGCCATATTTACTGAGGGACCCTGGATGGTTGAAGCCCATCCATCAAGAAGGAGCCCAGGTTGAGAAGACCTTCCCCATCAACCAGCTCAGGGGTCCATGAACAGCCCCACTCCACCCAGTTGGGGTCTGCCCAGCCATCTCCGAGTAACTTGAGCTCGCTTTCTCCTTGCATTGGTCCTCCACAAGTCTTCTCACCCGCTTTTCACCCATCCCCACCCCCCTGTCCTTGTAGGGTCCACGCCTTTCTGGAGCAGTGGGGGCTGATCAATTACCAAGTGGATCCAGAAAGTCGACCCATGGCCATGGGACCCCCACCCACCCCCCACTTCAATGTGCTGGCGGACACCCCTTCGGGACTCATGCCGCTCCACCTGCGGACCGCTCAGGTAACCATCCTTCTGGTGGGTCCCCTCGCCTCCCATGGCGTCCTTCATGGTGGGATGGGTTCCTGTCAACCTGGTTTCATAACTCGCATCCGTGGGGAAGATTTGTGCTACAAGGAGGTTCCTCAGACCCAGCTGAGAGGGTCTTCCCAACCCTGAGTTCACGTCTGGGTGATGGTTGTGGGGAGGCGACGATAGGAACCTTGGAAACAACCTTTGGAGAACATACCTCGGAGACATTGTTGGGTTCAGCCATTCTCAAGCTCGGCAACCATTTGACTGAAGAGGTCTGGTGGACTGGGCCACCAGAGACCATGGTCGACTAGGGAGTTGTCTTCAAGTGATCAAAGTGGAGTAACAACGGATGGATGGAGAGAGAGAAATAGATCAGAACTTCCCAAAATGCTGCCTGGGGAATTCTGGGAGTTGAGCTCCACATATCTTCAGGCCGCCACTGTTGAGAACCGTTTTGCTAACTTCTTAGCTAGCCTCCTTTCTTCTTTTCAAATTTCTTGTGGTAATTTCAATGTTCTCCTGTGCGCTGCTTGGGGAATCCAAGCATGGGTTAACTTTGTCCATTAGCCTAGAGGCTGAGTTACGTAATTGTTGACCATGCCTCCTCTGACTGGATAGTTCAGTTTTTTTAACTCAGTCCAGCCTAAAGAGACGTAAAACAATTTGCTCTAGGACTATTAGACAAATTATCTTATTCTTCAGGATTCCTCTTGCCTTAATTGATTACTGGTTATAAGCAACGAAGTGCAATTCTATGCCTGACTGTCTCTGGAGGGCGGCAGTTCGCTGTCAGCCTCGCGTCCTTTCGGCATGTCTGGCAGTTTCCCTAAGGCTCTAGGGGGCGGGGAAAATTTTCGCCGTAGAAGGTTCAATAAATGCCTGACTCACCTTCAAGTGCGCTTGAGAGTAGGTTCGCCACTCTCCGTTCGCTGTTGTCCACTGTTGGGAGTCTGTTCGCCGTTCTCGCACCGGTCAGGGAGGGCGCGACTCACTAACACTAGCGCGGTCTGTCCCTTGGAGGTTTTGCTGCCTTGCGCATCCGCGCTGCCTTTATTTCTGCCTTTACTGCCGCTGGGTAGGCGCTGCGATCCCGGATTGTGGGAAGAATCCGGCGGAACAGTGACCGTTGGAACCGCCGATTTCAATTTCGCGCCAGTCTTGATGGCAGTCACCATTTTGGGAGCCGTTTAGCTGCGTGCCGACGAGCGGCCGGAAGGGCCGTGTCTTGCGTTTCACACCTGATTGCAGCAGCTTTTTCGCTGTGTTCTGTCGGCATATGCAGTAGCTCGAGTCAGCAGCCAGAGACAGCCTCGCTATTCATAGCAGTGCATTCTCTATATTTGACCGTGAGGTTGATCCTTTCAGTCCATCCCGGGTTTCAAATGGCGGATCATTCCATCTCCGGGGACAGTGCTGGGGCTTCTAATTCTTCCCGGCTCCCCCCCAACGCTACAGAGGCCAGCGCCAGGGCAGTCAGGACCACCATCAGGGCCCCTAGCCAAAGAGTTCGCACCTCTTCTGCGGTGCCGGATAGGGCCGCTAAGCCCAAGGACAGGGCCAAGCCTTTGGCCAAACCCACCATTGGCCACAAGTAGGTCGCCTCCCACACTAGTTGCCCAAGGCCCTTCCCCTGTTTCTTCCTTAGGTCTGACTGGGACCCATAGTTGGTCTTCTGAACTCAGGGGATGGCATCCGAGGAGGGGGAATTGGAGGCCCAATCTCCCCCCCGGCCTTTCTGAAGCCAGTCCACGCTAGGCCCACAGCTACCTTTACACCTACGGCTGCAGGACTCAGAACTGTGGAAGGACCTGAGTTAGGCCTTCCCCCTGAGCTTCATCAAATGATCTCGGCTGCCATATCACAGGGCGTTGATGCAGAATTGCATCACAGGGCCCTATTTTCCAGGCCGACAGCCTTACCTAAGGACTTGCCCACCCCCCAGGCAGACTCTCCATCACCCCTCCCCTTGGTATATAGCGAGGATTCGGTTCTCGGTGAAGAGGGAGAAGTGGCTGACATAGAATTTTCCGATGACGAGAGCCTGGCACAGGACAAACCTACCTCTTCCGGGTTGTTTCGCCCAGTGTTGTTCAAGTCCCTCTTGTATAACGCAAAGGCCACTACCAACATGGGGGGCGCTACCACTCAGGCTAGTACAGTGGTAGGCCTTGATTCTACGGAGCGTCTGTTTGTGGAACAGGTGCAGGAACAGGAGGTCATTCCCTTTCCGAAGCTGTTCCTTGACGTCCAAAAACAATGGACGCAACCAACTGCTGTTCCTCCTCCTAGCATCGGGGACAGGAAGCTTTATCCTTTCACGCCAGAGCTGGACAGCATCCTCCAGTTCCCCATGGTAGATCCACCAGTGGCGGCCTTGGCTTCCCCAGCCTTAATTCCGCCCGAAATTTTGGAGGGCCTTAAAGCGGAGGACTGTAAGGCCGAATAGGTCATCCCAAAGTCCCACCAGGCTGCTGCCTGGGCCTTGCGGGCAGCCACGGCGGCCTCTTTCTTTAACAGGACCTCGTTGGTCTAGCTTAGGCAGTTACAGGGCAGGCTTGCCCCCGATGATATGCCCCTCCACCAGGATGTCAACAAACTGGTGGCGGCATTGGAATTCTCCTCTGATGCTACCCTCAACGCAGCCAAGTTCGCGTCTCGAGCGGTAGCATCCAATATGGTATCCCACCATCTCCTTTGGCTTCGCCATTGGCAGGCAGACCTTCGGTCCAAATGGTGCCTTGCATCTACCCCCTTCAAGGGTGAGCCCTTGTTTGGTGCTGCGCTTGATCCTATCTTAATCGAGATAAGGGACAAGCGCAAAGTGCTCCCATCCACCAACAGACGCACGGACAGGAGGCAGCAAACTTACAATAGGCGGCAGTCCTTTCGTGCCGGGGACTCCGGGTACAATACCATTCCCTACATTCCCAGTATAATAGGCCTTACATGCAGCCACAGGATCAGAACCAGGACCACTCTCGTGCCAGGAATAGGGGCCGCCTGCAGACCCAGAAGCTGGCGGCCATTTCGTAGCCCCACCAACCAGTCCTTTCGTAGATACTGGTGACTCGCGCGAGGTGGGGCCTATTGGTGGGCCCTTAACAGCCTTCACTCACCAATGGTCAGAAACCACCTCAGACACCTGAGTGCTCCAAACCGTGAGGCTGGGCCTCACTCTAGAATTTCTTCCCATTCCCCCAAGGCATTTCATCAGGTGCCCAGTACCCAGGTGTCAGGTAAAGAGGTGTCTGATGGACACCAAAATCCAACATCTTCTTGCTATCAATGCCATAGAGGTGGTACCAAAGGGACAGGAGTGACTAGGGTTCTACTCTATCCTATTCCTAGTCCCCAAGAACTCGGGAGGATGGCGAGCCATTCTAGACTTGAAACGGCTCAACCTTTATCTAAAATATCAGAGATTCAAGATGCAAACACTCAAAAAGCATCTTATCCTGCATACGCCAAAGCGACCTGCTGACCTCTGTCGACATCAAGGAAGCGTACCTCCACATGCCAATACATCCGACACATCGGAGGTTTTTGAGGTTCCAATTTGCAGGCCACCACTTGCAATACCAAGCTCTACCACTCAGCCTCTCATCGGCCCCACGAACTTTCACGAAGCTGCTGGCAGTCATAGCCGCCTCTCTTTGGTCAATATCCATAAGAGTCAATTGCTACCTGGACGACATCCTGGTCATATCGTTATCCCAGAACCAGGCCATTCAAGACATGCAATGCACGATCGACACCCTTCAGCAGCACGGCTTCATCCTGAACTTTCCAAAGAGCCACCTGCAGCCAACCTCGTTCATCTTGCACCTCAGGACCATCATCAACTCGTAAAGGTGCAAGGTTTCCTTGTCTCAGGAGAGGCGACAAAGCCTCCGCAACCTGGTGAGTTCACGTGATGTCACAGAGATCCTTGCTGCTGGCAGTTCTTTCCCAGCTATTTGGGAAAATGATTTCCTGTATAGACATTGTTCCCTGGGCGCGGTTCCATGCCCGGCCATTCCAATGGTTTTTGCTCCCCTTCCAGAGGGCCCATACCAGTCACTCACAAATCAGAGTCCAGCTACCACCCAAGGTATTATGGTCTCTCCGGTGGTGGACATCTTCCAAGCTACTCAGGAGATGCCTCTTCAAGGAGCCAGACCGCATCATGGTAACAACGGATGCGAGCCTCTTCGGATGGGGAGCCCACGTCTTGGACCAAGTCACGCAGGGTTGCTGGACGGACTGGGAATTAATAGCAATAGCAATAGCAGTTCGACTTATATACCGCTTCCTAGGGCTTTCAGCCCTCTCTAAGCGGTTTACAGAGTCAGCATGTTGCCCCCAACAACAATCTGGGTTAAGGAACAGCATCAACTGGCTAGAGCTGCGAGCCATCCGCCTAGTCCTCCACGAATTCCAGAACATGGTGATGAACAACCATGTACTAATTCTCATCGACAACGTGGCCTCCAAGGCTCATGTCAACTGCCAGGGAAGCATGCGGTCCAAGTCCCTGATGATAGAAATGGAGAGACTCCACCACTGGGCGGAGGGCCGTTTGCTGTCAATCCAAGCAGAGCACATATAGGGCACAGCCAACACACAAGCAGATTGGCTGAGCAGAACTACTGTGGACCAGGCGGAGTGGCGCCTCCATCCTGTTCTACTCCAGGAACTCTCTCACAGGTTCGGCCAGCCTGAAGTGGACCTCTTTGCGCAGTCTCACAACTCTCAGCTGTCGGCGTTTTCATGTGCACTGCGAGGGGAATCCAAACCCGCCCTCGGCTTCCGCTGGTCTGGGCATTGACGTGAGTCTTCGTTTCACTACTATGGCTACCTGCCTCTTGACTAGATTGGATCGATTTACTTCCCTCATTGGCCACCGCCTTCCGTGACAATTGTATCACCTCTTAGTTAGGCTGAGCCTTCGTACAAGCCTGAACCATCCAGCCAGAGGAGGCGTGGTCAACAATTACGTAACTCAGTCTCTAGGCTAATGGACAAAGTTAACCCATGCTTGGATTCCACTCACAGCGCACATAGAAGGTCCGTCCAGGTAAGTCAACGGTCATTTGGCTCCTCTTCCTAACGTAGATATGACCCCTCACTTATAATTGGTGTTTGTGTTGTGAAAAAAACATTGTTGTATGAGGAAGTGAGAAAGTTCTTTTGGAGCACTGACGAGTCCCAGCAGTAGTGATACACACTTGTGACGTGTGGCACGTTCTGTCTGCATCTTTTCAGAAAATAAAACTTGATTTTGCTTATTGAGAGTTGCTTTGGCCTCCTCCTTAAGGTGTTCAAATTCTCTTCCCCCCCACCCCTCCTCATTATTCTGCCTTTTTTTTATTTTTTATCTTAGATTCCAGCTTCCCAACAAATGCTGAACTTCCCGGAGAAAAACAAAGAAAAACCCACCGATCTGCAGAATTTTGGCCTCCGGACGGACATCTACTCCAAGAAAACTTTAGCCAAGGCAAGGCATGATGTTCCCCCCCCCCCTTTACTTCCCCCCTCAGGGATAGTTCCTAGATCTCAGCAAAATTTTTAGATTGTGTCTTCGATTGCTGGGATTCCCCAACCAGCAGGCGGAACTTTCCGCCACTGGAAGTTGCTGAAGTGGAGGAACAGATTATCTCAGGGGATAATCTGCAGTCTGAACTGGCTAGTGTGTTCAATTGCCATCTGTTAAATAAGGAAGCACTCACTCCCATGCTGCTACGAACTCAGAATCGCTCGGAGAGGGAGATGAGCAATCTCTAAATTGGATGGATGATTCACACAGACAAACAAAAATACACACACATAGAGGGAGAGATACTTAGTGGGTGGGTGGATACATACATACATACATACATGACAGACAGATGGATAGATAGACATGAAAGAGAGAGAGAGAGAGAGTGCTGGGGTTTGTAGATAGGGAGAGAGAGAAATTAGATTATTTATACAAATTAGATATATGTATTTAGTGTTACAACCCCTGGTATCCCCAAATATGGGAGGAAGCCCACTGCTTCCATTCTCTGTCTATCGGCTCGCCATCCTGACAGAAACCCAATATTTTTACTGTTGCCTTTGTTACATTTGTGTTGTATTTGTGCTGATAAATAAATAAAGGGAGACAAATTAGAGAAATTAGATATAGTATATATCAATTGTTATTCATTTTCGCTTTCCAGAGCAAAAGCGCCAACGCTGGCCGAGAATGGACAGAACAAGAGACTCTGCTTCTGCTTGAGGTAAAATTAAAACATATAAAACCTCAGTCATTAGGATTTGGGCAAGAAGAGATGTGACTGCAGGCAGTCCTCGAATTACAACTGTTCGGTTGGTGACCGTTCAAAGTTAACAACGGCATTGAAAAAAAGTCATTTAGCATTGTTTTTCGAACTGAGGACCACATCCCCACAGTCACATGATCACAATTCAAACACTCATATTTACGACAGTCATAGTGTCCCGTGGTCACGTCATCCCCTTTTGCGACCTTCTGACCAGCAAAGCCACTTGGGGAAGCCCGATTCACTTAACGACCAGGTAACTAACTAACTAGAGCCGAGGTGGCGCAGTGGTTAAATGCAGCACTGCAGGCTACTTCAGCTGACTGCAGTTCGGCTGTTCAAATCTCACCGGCTCAGGGTTGACTCAGCCTTCCATCCTTCCGAGGTGGGTAAAATGAGGACCCGGATTGTTGTTGGGGGCAATATGCTGACTCTGTAAGCCGCTTAGAGAGGCCTGAAAGCCCTATGAAGTTGTATATAAGTCTAACTGCTATTGCTATTAAGAATTGTAAGGATTCGCTGGTCTTGATGGGCTGTGTTTGTCTAGTGTTAATCCCTGCTTATCTCGATTTTTCTTTCTGTGAGGTCCTGAGTGTTCTCTGAGTTTGGTGATTTTCTTGCAGACATTTCATGACCCAACTAGGGAACATCATCGGGGCTAGAAGGGGGTGTGGGGGGTTGTGGAGAGGAGGAAGAGGATTGTGGGTCCTTTGTGCTTTCTGAGCTGGGTAGTTTTCCAGATGTTTCATGAGTACTAGAAGGGGGGAGGACTGGGCAGGGGGTCCTTGGTGCTCTCTGATTTTGGGTTTTTTCCTGCGGATGTTTCATGACCCAACTAGGTAATGTCATCAGTCAAAGGGTGTGTTGGATTTGTTCTCTGAATAAAGATTGGCTTACCCTGCTGGCATTGGTGGGGTGTGTCTTCCCCCCCCCCCCTTGCTATTTCCATGATTGTTGTAGTTTTTTCCTAGAATGATTGTCTAAAAAATCCAATAAATCCAATATTTTGTCGTTCTCCCATTAAATTGGATGGTGAATGGTGGCGGACCTCACGATTTAGCGGGTGGTGGAGAAGGGGGTGGGGAGGAAGGATGCAGATTGACTTGTGGATGAGAGGCAGCTCCAGCTGAGTGATTACGTTCGTTGCTATTCCGGCCGAAGCCGGATCTCAGGAGGAAGGAGAAGAATAGGTGGGAGAATGCTTGGAAGGAGGAAAGAAAAGAGGGAGGAAGAAGGAAAGGGAGGAGAAATAGGAAGAAAGAAGGGAAGGAGGAAGGAAGAAGAAAAAGGCAAGGAAGGAAGAAAAGAAAGGCAGGAAGGAAAAGGGGGGGAAGATTGGAAGGAAAAAGGAGGGAAGGATGGAAGAAAGGGGGAAGGGAGAAGGAAGGTGAAAGGGAAGAAAGGAAGAAGGGAGGAAGGAGAAAGAGGGAAGGAAGGATGGCAAAGGGAGCGATGAAAGAAAGAAAGAAAGAAGGGTGGAGAAAAATGGGGAAGGGAAGGAGCGATGGAAGAAAGGGGAGGAGAAAGGAAGGAAAAGAGAGCTGGGAGGGAAGGAAGAGACAGGGAAGGAAAAAGGAGGGAAGGATGGAAGAAAGGGGGAAGGGAGAAGGAAGGTGAAAGGGAGGAAGGGAGAAGGAAGGAAAGGGAGGAGGAGGGAAGGAAGGATGGCAAAGGGAGCGATGAAAGAAAGAATGAAGGATGGAGAAAAATGGGGAAGGGAAGGAGCGATGGAAGAAAGAGGGAAGGAAGGAAGGAAAACAGGGCTGGGAGGGAAGGAACAGACAGGGTGGGAGGAGAGGAAGGCTCAGAATTCAAAGAAGGAAGGAAGGAGCATCCTCAAATCAAGGCTTAACTTTGGTGGACCACATGGAGACAATCTTCCTGTTGCCAAGGGAACAGCAGAGCAGTCCTTTCCCATTGGCTCCTTCCAAAAAACGCTGCTGTTGCTGCTCCCTCCTCCCTCATTCTCCCTCCCTCCCTTCTCCTCCTCCTTTTCCACCTTCTTCCTCTTCTCCTTCCTCAATCCCTTCTTCCTCATCCTCCTCTTTTTCTCTTTTTCCTCCCCTCTTCTTCCTCTTCTCCTTTTCCTCCACCTTCTCTTCCTCTTCTCGCTTTTTCTTCCTCTTCCTCCTCTTCCTTCCGTTCCTCCCTCCTCCATATCCTCCATTCTTCTTCCGATTCTCCTCCTCCATTTCCTCTCTTCCCCCTTCGTCTCCTCCTTCTCCTCCTCCTCTCTTCTCTTTCTCTTCTTCTCTTTTTTCCACCTTCCTCAATCTCCCATCTTCTCCTCCCTCTCTCCTCCTCCTCATGCATAGGGAAGGCCCTGAAGTTTTTTCCAAGGCTTGCCATTGCCTTCTTCCTAGGGCTGAGCACGAGTGGCTGGCCCAAAGTCGCCCAGCTGGCTTGATCCCTAAGGCAGAACTAAAACTCAACAACTCCCAATTTCTCATCCGGTAATCAAAGTCCAAGACAATCTGAATGACTTGATCCACCATAAAGCATCTATTCAGGCGGTCCTCGACTTACAGTGATTCATTTAACGACCTTTCCAAGTTACTATGGCAGTGGAAAAAGTTACCCCCCCCTGTGCGCCCCCCCCCCTGTGGTCAACTCAATCAATATTCAAAACGCTTGGCAACTGAGACTTATCTATGACGGCCGCTGTGTCTCTGAGATCACGCAATCCCCCTTTTTGTGACCTGATTAGCAAACTCGGTGGGGAAGCCAGGTTTGCTTAATGACCATGTTGATAACGTAACAATGGCAACGATTCCCTTAGCAACAGTGGCAAGAAATGTCGTAAAGGGGGGGAAAGCACACTTAGCAACAGAACTTCAATTGAGGTTGTAAGTCGTAAGACTAGCCATATAGGAAGATGTGAGTGTTGATGTGATACTGGTGTGTGTGTGTACAGCTAGTCCTCGACTTACAACAGTTCACTTAATGACCATTCAAAGTTGCAACATCCCTGAAAGAAAAGTGACTCAGACCTGTTTTTCACACTTAACGACCTTTGCGGCATCCCCGTGGTCACGCGATCAAAATTCAGGCAATTGGCAAAACCAACTCACTTTTACAACGGTTGCCTTGTCCCGGGGTCACATGATCCCGACCTCCTGACCAGCAAATTCAAGGGGGGAACCCGCTTCGCTTAACGACCGTGTGACTCCCTTTAATTCGCTTCAAAACAAGAGGGGGCCAAGCTCGTTGAACAAATGTCTCACTTAGCGGTGGAAATTTCAGGCTTTATGGAGGTTGTAAGACGAGGAACAACCGTATAGGAGGGAAAACGCGCTCATAGATGGGATTGTGGTGTGTGTCATTTGTGTGTGTTTGTCACTCCTAAAAAACCCTCCGTTCTCCGCCAGGCGTTGGAGATGTACAAGGATGATTGGAATAAAGTCTCCGAGCATGTCGGGAGTCGAACCCAGGACGAGTGCATCCTCCATTTTCTCAGGCTCCCCATCGAAGACCCTTACCTGGAGAATTCGGACTCCTCCCTCGGACCCTTGGCCTACCAGCCCGTCCCATTCAGCCAATCCGGGAATCCGGTTATGAGCACCGTGGCTTTCCTGGCCTCAGTGGTGGATCCTCGGGTGGCTTCGGCGGCCGCCAAAGCAGCTTTAGGTATGGTTTTCCCCCCCCTCCCCGCTGCACAGACTTGGTTTTATCTTGGCTTACAGGTGAACCAGGTTCCCTACTTATGAAAACTCGAGAGGAAAAGAAGATTGGTCTCTTGGGGTTGAACAGGTGGGGGGGGGGGTGTCTCTGAGCTGGGTGGTTTCCTTGCAGACATTTCACAGCCCAGCTAGGTAACTTCATCAGGACTAGAAAGGAATGGAAGAAGAGGAGGAAGAAGGATGGATGGATGGGAGGGAGGGAGAAGAGAACTGTGGCGTCCTTGGTGCTCTCTAAGCTAGGTGGCTTCCTAGCAGACCTTTCAGGAACCAACTAGGTAATATCATCAGGGCTGGAAAGGAATGGAGGAGAAGGAGGAGGGGAAAGAAAGTTCCCTAATTTGGTCATGAAAACAACCCAGTTCAGAGACCCTCAACAACCCCCACATACACACTCAACCCACCCCACTGCCTTCTACATGCAATAGCCTGTTTCCGAATACTCTCCAGGGGTAGCCACATGGACAACGGGTCACAGTAGTCCAGACACTCCAGAAGGGGCCGAACTCCGCGTAAGGGCCTCGCGATCCCAACCTTCTTGTCTCTTTGATGGACAACCCATTTTCTCCCAACTGATCAGAGGGATCTTCGGGGTTGGACTAGAAGACCACCGAGGTCCCTTCCAAATTCCACAATTCTATATTTCAAGGTGTTTCTTTTTTTTTTGTCCCGCAGAGGAATTTTCCCGCGTCCGAGAAGAAGTCCCTCTGGAACTGGTGGAGGCCCACATCAGGAAGGTCCAAGAAGCCGCCCGGGTTTCGGGGAAAGTGGACCCCACTTATGGGCTCGAGAGTAGCTGCATCGCTGGAACGGCCCCTGACGAGCCAGAGAAAATGGGTACGTTTCCCAAATGTGGACGGTTGAGCTCTCGAGTTAACGTCCGTTCGTTTGGCAACGGTTCGGAGTCACTGAATGAAAGGCGGAAAGCTCACCGCCGTCTCTCCCTTCCCTGGAAGCCTCGGGTTCACAAGGAAGGGTGGTCCCTGACTTACGACCATTCGTTTACTGACGTTTCGATGTCACTAAACGAAAGGCAAAAAGCTCATGATGCAATTTCTCCCCTTTTACAATTTCGGTAGTCCTTGATTTATAACGGTACATTTAGTGACAGTTCGAAGTCACTAAAAATCCTTGCAACGTAGTTTCTCCCCTTCTGCAATCTGTGGGTTGCAATCTGAGTAGTCCTGGACTTATGACCATTTGTTTAGCGACAGTTCGAAGTCACTAAGGGAAAGGCGGAAACCTCGCTATGCAATTTCTCCCCTTTTACAATTTCGGTAGTCCTTGATTTATAACGGTACATTTAGTGACAGTTCGAAGTCACTAAAAATCCTTGCAACGTAGTTTCTCCCCTTCTGCAATCTGTGGGTTGCAATCTGAGTAGTCCTGGACTTATGACCATTTGTTTAGCGACAGTTCGAAGTCACTAAGGGAAAGGCGGAAACCTCGCTATGCAATTTCTCCCCTTTTACAATCCGTGGTTTCCAATCCAGGCAGTTGTTTACTTACGATAGTTTGGTGATGGTTCGAAGTCGCTAAACGAAAGGCAGAAATCTCATGACGCCGTTTCTCCCCTTGAAGCTTTGGGTTCACAAAGAACGGTGGTCCTTGACTTACGACTGTTCGTTTATGGACTGTTCAAAGTCACTAAACCAAAGGTTGAAACTTCGCAACTCCATTATCCCCTTCTACAATTTGGCTAGTCCTCAATTTATGACCGTGCATTTGGGGGCTATTTGAAGTCACAAAAAAATCCTCGTGACACAGTTTCTCCCTTTCTACAATCCGTGTGGGTCACAATCCAAGTAGTTCTCAGCTTACGACCATTCATTTAGCAATGGTTCAAAGTCACTAACGGAACGACGGAAATTCGCGACTCCCATGTTCTCCATCGCATTGTCCGGTTGATCCGAGTGGCTTTACGACACCCCAGGAGGCCTCTTAGCCTGCAAGCTCAGATGGGCCCCCGGCAGCTGTCACACGGGGCGCATGCAGGGCTCAGCCACTAAGCCGTAACCTTGAACAAGGTCGGGCGAACATTCTGGAACGCCTGTGGGGCAGGAATCCTTCATTCTCTGAGCGAGGGAGAACCGTTTTCATCGTCTATTTCTTGGGATCTCCTTTATTATTTGATAAGTTGTCAAGCATGCCTTATACGCATTACTGCTCCTATTTCCCCCCCATAACAACAACCCTGTGAGGTGGGTGGGGCTGAGGGAGAGAGACTGGCCCAGGGGTCACCCAACTGACTTCCGTGCCTAAGACAGGACTAGAACTCCCTTTCTCCTGGTGATTGGCCAAAAGTCACCCAAACAGCCTTCGTGCATAAGGCAGGACTAGAACTCACATTCGCCTGGTGATTGGTCCAGAGTCATCAGCTGGCTTTTGTACACCTAGGGTGGAACTAGAACTCCCTTTCTCTTGGTTATTGGCCCAAAGTCACCTAGCCGGCTTTCCTGCCTAAGAGAAGACTAGAACTCACCAATCGTCCCACAATCACCCAGGTTGCTCTCATGCTTCAATCTGTACTGCAACCCCCCTGCCCCCGGTTACTAAACCTTTACACACTGTCCATCGATTTATTATCCTCGCCCTTTTTTTCAACTCCGAGCTGATACCGATTTTTTTTTAAAAAAGGACAATTAACTTTGACGACTCCCTATTTAGCCATCCTCAGTAGTTAAATCAGGGCAAAACCTGAGGGCGCCTTGGTCCACTCAAACAGACGGTCAGCAGGGGTTGCACTTCGAGAGAAGCACCCAGCGTGTTGTTGGGCTTGCACCTGATTTAGCGGGTGGCCAACGGAGTGGTGGAACATTGCCTCTTCCTTGTCACAGCGGAAGGCACGGACGGATGGCCGCTCGAGAGAGAGCTGTGGAAAAAAAACACAACAGCACCCCTGCTGGTTGTACTTTCAAATGGCGCTGGGAAACGTAGCTGCAGGCGCTGAACTTGGGCTCAAATTAAAAGGCATCAACACTGGCTTAACACCGTTCCGGATCAGTGGCTGTCACTAAACAAACTGTTGTTCGGTCAAGGACGGCCTATATTCCATACGTTGAGGGCTGTGGGGGGGTCATCCTCGATTTATGACCGCAATTGAGCCCCAAATTTACATTGTTATGGGAGAGATTTGTGTTTCCCCATTTGACGACCTTTCTTCCCCACGGTCATTAAGTGAATCGCTGCAGTTGATAAGTTAAAGTGAAACTGGCTTGCCCACCCATTGCCTTTGCTTGTCACAAGGTCCCCAGAAGGGGATTGTGTGGCATTTGGAGACAGCAGTGGTCATAAGTACAAGTCGGCTGCCAAGGGCCTGAAATTTGATCACAGGGATGCACCGAAGGTCGTAAGTGTGAAAAATGGTGATAATCCTCTTTTTTATTGCTGCTGTTTAGTTTGAAAAAAATCCTCTTGGAGGTTTAGGGGGTCTTGAAAGCCAACTCCCTTCTGGCCCTGAGATTTCCTTGGGGGGCTTTGCGTGAGACCACAATCAGATTTAAGACTTTTGAGATTAGAGGGTGGGGAGAGGATTGATGGCCAGATGCTGGATGTGTCTGAACCGAGACTTAGAAACAAAAGAGAGAGAGTGGAGGGAGGGAAGGAAGGAACGCAGGAACCAAGAAAAAAAGAGAAAGAGGGAAAGAAAGAAAGAAAGAAAGAAAGAAAGAGGGGAGAGGCAAGGAGGAAGAATAGGGATAATGGAAGTAAAGAAGGAGAGGAAGGAACAAAGAGAGGAGGAGGAAGGAACAAAGAAAAAGGATGGGAAGAAGGGAAGAACAAAAGAGGAAGGAAGTGAGGGAGAAAGGAAGGAAGGAATTCATTTTTATTAAGAACCAGAAAGAAAAGAAAGAAAGAGGAGGGGAGGAAGATGGAAAGAAAAAAGGAAGGA